ATATGTTGTCTTTATCTATTGTCCTATTTTTTGAAAAAAGGATAAGGAATTTGTTTGATTTTGCCCATATATATATATATATATATGCAACATTAAACAAAATGATCTTTGTTGAAATAACCAATCAACATCCACCAAATTAAGGGAGATTCTTCTCTCATATGTTTAATTTTTTTTCTTTCTTTTACATTTGTAACAAAATTTGACAACCAAATTATAGCAAAAAGGAAAAGATAACTTTGCTTTAAAGAAATTGTCTTTGTTAATTTTTCACAAATACTAAAAAAAATTATTAATTATTATTTTATATCAGCATATTTTATTAACACTTTTTTTTAAAAAAAATCATTTTTCTTTTAACAATTGCATTTGAATAATTTTTTTGTATAAAATAAATTTTAATTAAGAGTATTTAAAAAAAAAATACATCACTTAAAATTTAAACGAGACAAATATTTTGAAATAAGTATAAATAAAAATATAGAAGATCTTTTAAAACAGAGAAAATATATATCTCTAATTTATTGAACGATAAAATACTAATGTTTAATATGGAGTTTACTATATATTTATAAAATCAACAACTAGCAATCATGTAAATTGATAATTAGACACCAACTGAATAGGATTACTTAACAAATTTGTAGAATTTTAAATTGTTAAGTGTGAGTTTACCCCACATTTGGTTCATGTACTATTTGAATTTTTTTCATTGAGACCTTATAACTTTTTTTACCTTGATTGAAATCTTCTATTGTCGAAATTTATTGATTCGAACCCTCCGTTATAATGCCAACAATTGTTCATCTTACGTGCATGTTATTGTTAATAACAACAAATAATTAAGTGATACATGGTTAGATGGGTCCCAAAATGCAATATCTTTTTCATAAATTAAAAAAAAAAACTAATTTAGATAATAAAATAATACTGAATAAAAAGACCAAAAGCCCACCCCCACTTATTTCCTAAAGACAAAAGGAGAACCTGCCTACTTCTTCATCTTCATCTTGCTAAAAGAATCAGTATTCTTCCATTGAGGATTTGTTTGATGTTTGGCCAGGTCCTACACGGTCTCAAAGGGAGATGATTCGGGTAGGTATTTATTTCTTTAGCCTCTGGGAGATTTGGAAAAGTTAGTGTATTTATAGGTTTGAAGAGCTTATTATGTCGGCTAGTTCTATTATTTATCAAGTGAGGAGGCGTTTTATTGATGCTTCCACTATTTTTAGGATGAAAAGTAAGTCTTCTTTTAGTGATGATATGGTTATTGCTAGGCTTAAGATTCCTATGCTTCATATTCTTCTGAGAAAGGGTAAATGGTTAAGTTGGATGCTTCCTCCAGAGGGTTATATGAAACTTAACACGGATGCCTCATCGATCAGTGATGTGGTGTGTACAAGTGGAGGCATTGTTAGAAGTTGTGATAGGAGGATCATTGCTTGTTTTTCTAACTTCTACAGTGCAAGTACAAATATGGAAGCAAAATTATGTGTCCTTCAAGATGGTTTGGAATTGTGTCATGAATTATCTCTATAGCATGTGTTGGTGGAGTCTGATTCTCAAATTATGATTAAGGCCATTAAAGGCACCATATGTAACTGTGGAGAGTGATCACCCTCGCTTAAGGAAAAAAAAAAAAAAAAAGGGACATTCAAAGAGAATGATATGGTGTATACTCTTAACATATAAATAAAATGTCAAATGAAAAAGGACATTACGTGCTATGAAAATAATCTAGTGTATATTCTTAGCGTGTAAAAAAGTGTTTTAGGAAGGTACATAGTCTTTTGTGAAGTTTTCAAAATTGCATATTTAAAAAAGGGTCGATTATATATATAATCGGTAGGATATGCTCGAAGAGAAAAATGAATTTTAAATGACACAAAAATGATTTTTAAATACATCACATGTATTACATGCAAAAAAAATCATTACATGCGTTGCATGGATTACACTTATTGAGTATCACTCACATTTGTTTCTTATGGTGTAGGAGAAAAGAAAGATGAATAAGAGATGTCATCAAAAAATATCGAAGACTTGCCCTTTTATGTGTTTGGTTGGTAAAGTTGTGAGCAAACGTACCTTTGCCTAACTTAAATTTTGGTTATGCATATTGGTAACAAGTTAAGCAATTTTAGTTTGTAATAATGAACAAAATGGTTTGAATGTTTCTTAATAGTATTATGTTAAATAATTATCCAATCATATAACTTGGTAATTAATTGGTTACTTGACTAATTAGAATGATTTAAATAAGTTAATTGCTTAAGGAAGGAACTAATTAGAGGTATATTGAGGGTATTAACTAAATGGGTACTTAATTTAGTAACTAAAGAATTGATGGTAAAAAGAATGGAATTGGAATGGTTTGACAAAAGGGGCTAGTAAGGTTAAGGCATTAAATAGCATTTAATGAATAGTGAATAAGAGAATTTAATGAACAAGTTAAATAGCTGAGTTTAAATTAATATGGAATCAAAATTCCATATGCACAAAAAAATGTTTTGAATGATTAAAGCTCTAATTAAAAGTCCCAATGAATTTATTAAGTATTTAATTGAATTAATTAAATAAATTTCTAGTCTATGGTATTCTTATAAAAATAATGGCATTAAATCAGAATTTAATGATTACTATTCATTAATTATTTCCTAATTAAATGCCATACATGATAAGTAAATTATTTTTGAAATGAAAATAATGTCAAATAATCTTACCTTATTGTATGAAATATTTGAAAATGAAATAATTCTAAATTAAATTATATATGAATTTTTAAAAAGAGTTTAAGAAAAATAAAAGATATGGTTCAATTTAGTTTAATAAAGATATTTTATTTAAAAGGAATTTAATATTTCTACACATGGTGTAGGAATATTAATGGGTGTTAGTTGAACTTTCAAAAAAAGTTTATACCTGAGTTTTATTTAATGTGAATCTATTATTTTTTATTTATTAGGGACCCTATATGAGAATTCCCACTTTACAAATAAATTGAAAATGATAAGAAAAGAGGCTTGTTGGCTTATATTCATTGTACTTCGAATGTAAATCAATGCCGATAATACTCTCAATCTATCTAAGTTTTAAGTTGAGGGTGTTATAAGAAATCAACAAGATCTCTACCGGAGTTGGTAGTTTCATACTTCCTGATCCTTCTATTGTAAGAAGCCCTGAATTGCCTGCTATAGCTCTGTCTCTACTGGCTAGCCAAAAAGTGTGGCTTATCCATAAAATTCAATTATTGGTAATGGACTAGGTGACTCAACTATGTATGATGTAATGGACCAGTCCTATATGATGGTTAAATGATCCCATTCGAGATGCTGGATTGCATGCTGGATTGTCATATCCATAAAAGATTTGTCTAGTTATGAGGTCCACTATTGGATACAGGAGGGAGCACTATTTGATTAAAACGGAATCGAATTAGTAATTTCGATTTGATTTTATACAAAAAATTAAAAAAAAAAAACTAAAATCAAAAACTAAAATTATTTTGATTTGAATTTTTTTTTTAAAGTTTGGTTTCTACCGAAAATCGAATTTGTGTGTGTGTGTGTGTTTTTTTTACATTCACATGGTAAAGTTAAAGAACAATAATTTTATTGTTGCTAAAATATCAGTGAAGCACTATTAAATGCTGCTAAATATGTCTTTTGGGCATTGTTAACTTTACCCATTATAACTTATGATTTTAAGTGAAGTGTCAGTATCATGGTTTTAAGCCACCGTAGCTATTCGATAAGAGAAAGGCATCAGCGATATCTAGGGTGCAAGCACCCACAACATGGATCTTGGAAGATGTCTCCCATGCTTCTGCACCCTCGTAGTTGTAGGTGACCAATGTCTATTTTTCTATTAGTACTACTGTAGTTTCAGTATTTTATAAGCCTTTTCAGTATGGTTTTAATATTGCATAAGTAAAGGAAGATAAGTAAATCAAAATTTATATTCAACTTGATCCAAGAGAAAATTTAAAATTTAGAAGAAAAGATGCAAAAAAAAAAAAAACAGTTTTTAATCAAAAATAAAAAAACTGAACTGAAAATTTTGGTTTTTTAACCAAAAAATCAAATCTTAATTCAATTCGGTTTCAGCTTTTATTTTAGTCAATTTGATTAGTTGAAAATCGAAACCGAATCGAAAAACCTAATGATCATCTCTAATTGGAGAGGCAATCCCGACTAAGATTGAGTTGGGCTCCGGTGCCCTTTTCATAGATGTAGATGATGTTAAAGACTATTATAAATTATATTCTAGGACTTCACCTATCGGCTTAAGCTTTTAGGTGAGATGGTCCTTTAATACGATATCGAGCTTGGTTGACCAAGAGGTCTTGACTTCAAGTCTCACCATTCCCAATTTCTATAAGTATTAAGCACAAGACAATATGGACATGCAAATTTCAAGCTCAAATGTTGGGGTTTTCACTTGAGAGGATGTGTTAAAAACTATTATAAATTATATTATTAGACCTCACCTATCAGCTTAACCTTTTAGGTGAGATGATCCTTTAATAGATGACACATGTTATAAACAGGGTTATTCACATATATCAAGAATCAATTCTATATCTACAAAAAACATTATACAAATTTTTTTACGATCTTTTCATCCTCAACCAATCTTTTGACAATTTAACAATTGTGAAACTCACAGTTCATTGTTTGTCAATTTTTTCAAAGTATGGCAAGAGACAGATTCACAAGGGAGCAGTTGCATATTCACTTGCGTTGGACTTAAACAAAACTTTGACTATAAAGTTAAATGATTTGAAAAGTGTTGGATTCAATTATGGTTAGTTATGATGCAAGCAATGACACACACAGAAAGATCTAGAATTTGAGGAAAATTTTGCGGCAAGAAACGTTCATTAGGACTTAGCTATATTAACATTTGTTTTCCTTCAAGATCATGTACCAAACTAAAACTTTACAATAAACAATAGCAATAGTAAAAGTTCGATATTTTGAAAGCTGAGCTGTTTTGAAATGGCACAAGTAAAACTACTAGATTTCTGGGCTAGTGCTCCTGCAATGAGAGTGAGAATAGCGTTGGCTGAGAAGGGAATAGAGTACGAGACTCAGGAAGAGGACTTGAGAAACAAGAGCCCTCTGCTTCTAGAGATGAACCCAGTGCATAAGAAAATCCCAGTTTTGATCCACGATGGGAAGCCCATTTGTGAATCAATGATCATTGTCGAGTACATCGACGAGGTCTGGAGTGACAAATCTCCTCTACTGCCTTCTGATGCTCATGAGAGAGCTCGTGCAAGGTTTTGGGTTGACTTCATTGACAAAAAGGTGAATCATCTTGTTCCACTTGCTCCCTTTTTCTTGACTACTATTAATTTCTATGATAAAAGTTCATTTTTTTTTTACAATAACATAATAAGTTGATCCATATATATATATATCCTATGTTGCTATGAGGACAATTAACTTGTCATTAAATCAAATAATTCACTTTTATATGCAGCTATAACGGTTGTAGTTTGTATAAATCACTGTCATTATTTTAGATTTTTAATTATATATATGAAAAGATGTCAAATTCACCTTTTTGTCAATGAATTTGACAAAACATCTCTCCTTTTTTTCTTTTTTTCTTTTTTTTGTGAAATTGTATTGACTTTGATAGGATATTCATTAGTAAGCCAACATTTACAAAATCAACTAATAAAATTTGAAAAATTGGGATCATATAATGTAGATTGGAGACCCAATTAGGCAGTTGGTGTGGACATCAAGCAGTACTGAAAACAAAGAAGCAGCAGCAAACGATCTCATTGAGATTTTTAAAGTAATGGAAGCAGAGCTTGGAGACAAACCCTATTTTCAAGGAGAGAGCTTTGGCTTTGTTGATGTTGCAGTTGTACCTTTCTATAGCTGCCTCTATACTTATGAGAAACTTGGGAACTTCAGCATTGCTAAAGAGTGCCCCAAGCTCGTTGCATGGGGTAAAAAATGCTTGCAGAAGGAAAGTGTGTCGAAGACTCTACCCGACCCATATAAAGCCTACGAGTTCTTTTTGGACTGCAGGAAGAAGCTGGGAATTGAGTGATCAGTTTCTAATTACATAATTAAGTAGTACCACACAATAAGGCTTTATGTCATGATTTTGTGTGTGGTTTTCTCTTGATTACCTTAAGGGCTTCAGCTTGTCTTCCTTTGCCTGTTTCGTTTTGTATTCATTTCCTGGCCTTGACTGCATTTCCAGAGTTTTAAGTTTTTCTTTAATTCTGTGTAATAAAGAATTTCCCTTTCCAATGAGGGAATTCCTTCATTTGTATTTTGTAATGTATTACCATGTCTAGCTTTTTAACTTCTACATTAAAAAATTAAACTGCGATTTCATATTATGAAGGGCCAAAGCCTAATAATCACAGCAGGATCCTTCTATTAGGTTTAGGCCATATCCAGCCTATGAAGAATTAGAGCAAAGTTAAATCACTGATTAGGATGCCGGAATAGACTAAGTAGGCTGTGTGGAGATGCAGTATGTATACATTAATATATTCTTAACGGTGAATGCAACAGAGAATGCGGATTATAATTGGAAGAATAACTTTTTTATTTTTTTTTACAAAATGCCATGTTGAGTTTCTTTTGATCCTGGAGAAGGAGAAGCAGAGACAAACAAGCACAGCAAAAATACAAAGGACAAAAAAAAATTACAATCTTGATATAGATGCCGCATGTGACACTTTGGAAAGAATGGTCATCCTGGTATAATGACAAAATGTGATATTTTGGAAGACTGGACATTTTGACAGCGTGACCATTTGGTGATACTTTTTAAACTAGTCATTTTGACAAAACGATCACCAAGGCAATATTAAAGGATAAGTCATCTTGACAAGATGATCACCTAGACTTTTTCTTTGTATACATGATCATTTCGATAGGGTGATCACTTGAGAGCTTTTTAGAAAAAACAAGCTTAAGTTGACTCACCTTACGAAGGAAAAGTTCGCTCATTTCCATGCTCAAGTTCACTTAGTCTACAGTAGCAAAAGATTTTGGTTTCTATGAGGATATTACCTCTGTGAGAAATAAATGTCACACCTTATAAAGCTTAACTTTTTTCTCTTGAATTTAGAATACTAGTTTGGATCTGGTAGTTCCTGAATCTCGATTGCTAATTTGCAAGAGCTTTTTGAAGAGATATTAGATTGATTGTATGTAGTTTCAAGCTTGCTGCTATTTGACTTTATCTATTGCACTATGATCCTTCTCTTTATTGTTGTGATTCCTTGTGAAGTTCACGGATTGAATCATCTTCAAGTCCTCTTATTGGCTACTGAATCTAGGATTCATTGCTCGCATCCCTTTATCAAGTGTTAACAAATTTTGAATTATTGTTTGCCCCAAGTCGTGTCTTGTTGCTTGCCCCTAAGTCGTGTCTTGGTATTCTCATCACTCTATATTCTATTTATTTCATCATTAAAGAGCACTTAGTATCATTATCATGCCTTTTTTAAGCCATTATGCCGTAAATTCAGTTACTTTTATGCCGTTAACATGTCCCTTGGTTTACCTTTGTTCAATCTACTCAAAGCAACAACTAACGTCTTAAAAAGTTCAATCAACTCCCTTGCAACTGTTTTGAGACAAATTGTTGTGTTGCCTAAAAGTGTTTAGAAATGAAGCAGATAAATTTGCCAAAAACTACTGAAGTTAACCAAAGAGTGAAAATAGAAAGAACTAGTGAGGTACCCACGCAACGCTGCAGATCGGATATCCGTTTCATATAGATGATTAAGTATTTTCCTATAACGTAATGCAAGTGACTTCGAACATTTGATATTTTTTTTAAATGGTTTTCGCACATGTGAATTATGTTCGTAAGAAATTAGTTTCAATTTATTTGATCGATCATGTTTTGCCTATACATTGTGATTTAGCCTGTGCTAATCTTTGTAATAAGTGAGAGAGATTTATTTAGCAATGATCATTGGATGGTTATGTTCAAAATGTAGATAAACGATTGCAGGAAGGCTAGTGGTGGAACAAAGCACATATGTTCATAATATATGCATAATAAACATGGATCAAATGTTAAGAATGCTTGAAACAATCTTAAAAGAGAACTTAAGTACCTTTTTTTTTTTTTTACACCAAAAATCTTGATCATTGTTTGCAAAAGGACATGAGCTTTTTAGTTTTTATTTAAATCCAAAACAGCAGAATACTTGTTCCAAGTACCACAGAAACCCCCACCCTAAAAAAAAAAAAAAAACCACCCTTTGGATAGTCTCATTATAGCATCAATCACAATATATGCAGCTTTTACTGCTTTCGAGCTAAATGAGTTGATCCTCTGCTTGAAGAAAGATAATAGAGCTTTCTTAGAAAGAGATACTAACTAAATTCTCTACACAATCAATCATCCTAAATGTCATACCCTAAAATTTTACCTTTGTGTATTATTTTTTTGTGTTCTTTATTTTATTTTCATTATGTAAATTTAGGCTTGCTTTGTATAAAATCAAGACAAAAAAAAAAATACATACATATATATATATAATTTTTCTTTTATTTATTTATTTAGAATTCGAACAAAATTACAAAAAATAAAATAAAATACAAAAATACAAAACAAAAGAAAAAATTTTCAACTTGCAGTAGCCTGACTCCTCTCAAGTCAACAATTTCGGCACCCTTCTATCTCGCTAGCCACTTTACTGCTGCAAATTCCAACGAGCTGCATAACCATACAACCTCCACGAGTGCCTCCAGCGACGGCCTCACTCGCTTCGGCCACACAACTCCCATGGCCCCTCCGGACAACTTCCCCCATATCTAGCAATCTCCGGGGCAATCCCCCAATTCCCGTAACCTCACCATGCTACAAATTGCAACAATCGCACTACCTTCCCCTTACCGGCCACCGCCATAGCCATCCCTTAGGATCAAAAAATGGTCGGACACGCCCACTCCGGAAAACCACGAGAAAATCCCCCACCATCATAGTGGGGAAACCAACCAAGCCACATTCACATATATATACACACCCGGACGATAACGAGAGAAAGGAGAGAAGGGAGGGGGATTTTTTTTTCTTTATTCGATATCCAAGAACACATTAATTAAGAGTGAAGCACTGCAAAATTAGGAGAGAGTTAGCGATTGAAAAAAAAAAAAGGAAATCGACAATAAAGAAAAAGAGAGAAAATCCGAAAAAAAGAAATTAAATTTACCTGAATTGAAGGCGGTCCACATCCATTCCAATCAATTCTTTTAGGTAATCCCTCTAATTTCTCTTAAATTTGGTTTTTTGTTTCAATTTAAGTCCGATTTAAAGTTTGGGATTTTTTCGAAATTGTAAAAATTTGAAGAATAGATTTGGGGGTTTTGATAAAATTGAGTCCTAAAGGGTGTGAATTAACTTGATTTCAACCTAATCAAGGCAATATCGCATGAAAATTTGAAGAATTGAAAAATTAGGATTCGGTCGAATTGGGGAGAATTTTTAAAAATTGATTTGGGGGCGTTTGTTTGAGCAAGGGAAAGAAGGAAAGAAAGGGGAGAAGAAAGAAAGAAAAGGGAAAATCAAGCTGCCATGGACGGACCTCCACTCGGTTCGTCCATGGCAGCAAGCAACATGTTACAAAAAAAAAAGAGAGACGGTAAAGGGAGAGAAAGGAGAAAGGGAAGGAAAAGAAAGAAGAGAGGGGTGTGGGAAAGGAGGAAGAGAAGAAAACGAAAGAAAACGAAAAAAAATAAGGACGAACCTGGTTCGTCCATGGCGATCGGGTAGAGAGAAGGGAAGAAGAAAAAGAAGAAGAAGAAGAAGAAAGAGAAACGAGAAAGAGAGAAGAGAAAAGGGAAATTGAAAAAAAAAAAAAGAAAAAAGGGCTTTTGATCTTAAGTTATGCTGAAATGGGTTTTGGGTTTGGTTTTTAGGTTTTTTTTTGTTTTAAATGGTGTGGGTTAGGCTGGCCCAACCCACGGGTTAATGGGCTGGACTGAAATTTCAGTCCAGTCCGCAAACAAAAAAAGAAGAGAAATTCGGGCTGGACAGCCCAAAAAAAAAAAAAAAAAAGTGAATTTTTTTTATAGGGATTTTTTTATTTCATATTAAAATTAGCTATTGAATTGGTTTTATTATTTTAATTAATGTAATTTTTAATCTGGAATTCATTGTATGTATGCTCGTTACTAATTTAAATTTCAATATTTGATTTCTTTTATTTAATTCATGTAACTTTAATTTATTTGTTTAGTAATTAGGTTCGGTAAGTAATAAGTAGAAGATCATCAAGTCTCCTAAGTTTTAGGGACTGATGATAACCCTTCTTAAAAAGAAATAAATAAAAATATAATATAATATAATAAATATAATAATAAAATAAAAGAAAGAAAAATAACAAAAAAAAATCATAAAACTTTTTAAAAAATCTCCTATCCGATAGGGATCGTTGTTAGTAAAAAAAAAAAAAAAAAAAATTTCTAATAAACAAGTGTTCTCCGACACACCGGTTGTGTCGAGACTAAAAAGTGGATCCGATGTTTGAACCGAGCGTCTCCGGATGAAAGAGGTCCGACGATCGTTTCAATACGATGCCACGCTCTAAAATAAAAAACTTAATTTGACTTGAAAAATTAGAGTCTCAAAAATTGAAAAATAATTTAGCAAAAATAAAATATTTTTGGAGATAATTTAGGACTAAGCTAGATGTGATACCTTTCTTAGGAAAGGGCACTTTTGGGTGATTAATTATCTTCCCATAAGCGTAACCGACTCCTTACCATAGAATCTTTGAACCAATGCCAATTTTAGGTTCCTAGTTATTTCAATACTGGGTGGCAACTCCACACTCTGCAAATAGTCTTATAAATAAAATAAAGATCCGAAACCAGTGATATCCTCAGATTTTTTCTATGGAAGCCCCGTCCGACGTCGGGTAGTGATACTAAAAAGGATAAAAAATTTCACCTCAAATGATAAAAGCAAATTAAATTTCACCTGAAAAAGCAATTTAAATAATCAACCTAATCATTTCTTTAGTACAATCATTATACACTTGTGGAGATGTACTTAAATGTCTTCAAGGTTCATAGTACAACCATGTTTCATAGTTGTAGACAATCATGGATGTAACGAAAGCCATGCATGCAGTTGTAGACAATCATGGATGTCACGAAGGCCATGCATGATAGAACTTACTCAAAAGCACATGGCAGAGTGTAAGGAGATGAAAAGAACTCTATGATATTAATAATATATGTTTTAAACTCATATTTATCTATGTCAATAGTTTTAGGATTTTCGGTAAGCTCTTCACTGAAAGACAGGATTATTGATGTTAAAACATTATGATTTCCTGTTAGCTAGCAAACAGATAATCTAACATTGATTTTCATTAAATGTACAATTGTTGCATATAAAAATTGTCAACAATATTATCTGCAAAAGTTATTTCAAGCAAGTAGCCTAATCTTTACCAAATCACAAACTATTCAATGATGTAAAAGCATGCAAAGAAAAATAAAGGCCTGGTACCTTATTATATGATAATGTCTTTTATCAAATTTAGTTGTTCCAAAATGACTCTGAAAAATAGTTACTGATGCATTGAAAATAAATAAAAAAACAGGATGTCTAGGCAAAGCAATCATGTTGACAGCAAAGAGACTAAATAAATCCAAAATAAGCTGTAGAAGATAACTTTAAGATGTCAAAAACAAAACAAAACAAAAGGCTACCTCACATTTTTCAAAAAATAGATAAGAATCATGGATTACTTGTACTTTGAATGATCAAATTGAAATCAAGTAATAGACCTATATTGGCACAATCTTGCAGTGTATATAGAACATGAAACATATAATAACAAATAAAAAAGAATAACAACAAACCTCGGAGGATATTCAGATCTACACATAGGCATTTCCTATAGCACAGTATTATGCAGCAACTGATGTCAACAAAGAAACATTTAAAACACTTTGAATGAACTGCCTTTTTCATGACAATCATATTAACATAAGACTTTCAGTCATAACCTGAATGTTGAACACTTATTCTTGAATCCTCTACTGAAACAATAGCAGAAGGTTCAATCATGGCTTGAGCATGAAACCACCGAAAGCATCTTGATTAAAAAGAAGTAAATCTTTTTTTTTTTTAATGAAAAAGTCAACTACATCACTTACCTGACCAATTATAGTATCAAATGTATTTTTGGCACATTCGTTCATCAAATCTTTTCCCAGAAGGGCAGCACCATAGCCAATATTTTTCAATGAAGAAAGGTTAGACTTTTTATCCAAATTCTGTTTAGCTAAAGCAAGCACTATTGAAGGCACCGCCCACACATGAGTCTAATTTGCACAATTGAATCCCAACTTCTAAAATGCTGGTTTTAATGGAAACAAACAAATAAAGAGAGAACACTAATTTGAACAGTTGAACATATACAATCCCGAATAGTTGCTATAAAACATGATCATTTTATAGTCATAAAGATATTGGTAATTACAAAAAAAAATACTATTTAATTAGGCATAACTAAATTAAAAGCTTGCTGATTTCCCAACCTCCATGTATCTATAAGTACCCTGAAAGATAAAAGATAATTCCTTTTAGAAGAATTAAAGAAAAAAATAAAAACCAAAAAACTAATTGAGTAAATGAAAAGAAAAAAGAAGAGTGATTACCCATCGACTTCAAGAAGAACAGCATGTTCTGGATATAGGTTTTGATTTTCAGAACTGGACGTTGAGCAAAATGTTGTGAATAGATTTTATTACAAAGATTTACTGAAAAATTGTGGTGTCTTGGGAAAGTGGAAGAAAATGGCAGGTCCGGATAGAGATTATTGTTGTAGTTATTTTTAATAGAACCAAATATTTGGAGGTCTCAAAACACTTTATAATATATATTTATTAAATAGTTTAAAATTAAAAATCAATGTAAAAATACATAAAATCAACTAAACCCTCACCATCTTCAACCTCTAACTTGCGAACATTCAAATCTGATCCACATTGTAGCATTGGGGAAAAAAGATAGTTCAAATGCATATAAAACAGTCAGGTTCAACAATCATTTCTCTCTGACAGCTAGCAACAACAACCCCATTCACATGTTTATGCTCTGCAAGTGGAAACTGAGAATAAAAGTTCCTACACAAAGTCATAATAGTAGTATAAGAAATTAAAATAATAAAAAAATCATTTCCCAACTGGAATACTCCCAAAATAACATGAAACGAGCACTAAAGATAGCAAGAAGAAAATCATTGCTTAAATAGTATGGGAAATTATTGAAAGAAATTTCTATGTTTTTTCATAGCAACTCAAAAAAGGTAAAGATCAAACACCCTAGAAGCAAATTAGAAATTAGCAATAACTATAATATGGAATTTTATTGGTGTGAAGTCTTAGTTCACCACTTTTCATCACCACTGCTATTAAATGTACAAAATGAGTAGCTTACATATATCTGTCCTATTCCAATTGACTAAAACAATTGTACTATGATTGCGATCTTCAGAAAATTGGTGACTGCGAACAGTATTTCAATGATTATATTGTGATCATGACACGTTAACTACAGCATTTGCATTCATTTTTGTATGTTTTTAATTTACCTATTGGACTTTATGTCTTTGGACCTTGAAGGGTGGCTTGACATGCTAAAAATCAGACGATAATAAGAGCACTAACAGACACCATTATAATCGCTCTTCGCTCTATGTACACCATGTTTTATGTTTTTGTCAAGAATAAAAAATGATGGATGAAAGTATGATTTTTAAGATTGTTTTATAATGAATAAAAAGGAAGGAATATTTCATTACCAAAATGTGATGCCATAAAAAATAATCTCATTGAGTTGTTCGCACACAAAAACAATAAAAATAAATAAAGAGTTAATACCCATTTATGGAAAGATAATAAGGATATTTCTTTAAAAATGAAGGAAGTTCAGAGAATTAATATTTATAAACTGCAATAACTTTGACATTATTCATCATCTACAAAGACAAACATAAAACAGAACCATCTGCAATATGAACCAGAAGATAAATGAAATAGACAACTCACACATCATGTGATGCAGAAAGAATACCCAATCCATGCATCTTTGCTAAGCCTCACACCGTATCTAGAAAGTTTACCTGCAAAAGCAAAAACTGACCTAAATGAGTGTATCATCGAATAAGCCATCCCATTTTTTGTTACAGAGAACAAATATTGAACAAAGTGGGGCTGCAAATTTCTCCAAGATCAGTTCATTAGTTAAAGGAAAACATAAATGTACCACAGATGAGCACCAAGGAATGTAGGAAAGATAAAAGGGGGAAAAACCAACCTCAATGCCCTGAAAAAGTCTATAAGCATGTCCTACCTTTCCAAAGTTTTAAAGTTTTGTTAGTTGAACCTGCATTGTGACAACTGTTGGTTTACTGGTTTACACACACAAACTATTAAATCTATATATTTGAACTTGAAAGAGATTACAATTAAGTGCTCCAATTGGTAATGTAAAGATTAAGAAAAAAATAAAATTTTGATCCTAAACAGACAGGTAAGGAAAACCAACATATATATCTTCTAAATTAGCACTTCAATAGAACATGAAATCTGCCAAATTGAAGAAAATGGCATTTATTTTGGATCCCAAAATGATATTACTCTTATAGATCCCAAATCCTTGTTAGGACCTTTCAACTTCTTCTTAAAACTCGCAAGCATATTATCCGTTCCTCCCAAATCCTCCTCCTCAACCATAAATTTATCTCCTAACTTCAACCTTCTCCAAAACTAACTTAACCTTTTTAGGTTTCTAGGCCTCTTCAACTTGAACAAAGAACCAAAAGGTTCATTATCATCTGAATCAACATCAACCTTAATTTGCTTCCCCAACAATCTGTTCTCCTCCTTCTCCATTTCTTTGTTAACCATAGGTTTCAACAAATTCTGTGACTACCCCATCTGTAACCCTAACCTAACTTCCAAATCCTTACAACTCGACATAATAAAGAGATGAAGAGAGAGAGAAGGGGGAGGAGGGATCAGACCTGAGTGAGTGATGGAGCTTTCACAGGGAAGGAGGTAGCGGCAATGGATTGTTGAGGGAGAGTGAGAGCGGTACGTTATGGCAGCCCATCAACTGGGTTTAGACGGTCAGGACTCCTGTTGGGGGTTACGGCAGCTGTGAGAGAGCCGGTATTTGGCTGGTTGGTGGAGCAGCCAGTGATGCGGCGGCTTGCTGTGAAGAGGAGAATGGTGAAGGAGATGGAGCCTTATGAAATTGGGATAAAGAGAAGTTATATAGCATATGATTTAATGGCTGTGATTGTTAGGGTTTTTTAGATGGATGGTTGAGATTGAAAGAAAGTAATGTTTGATCGGACGGTTTGAAAGAAATTAATTTAGATCGAACGGTTGAAACAAAAAATAGACATAACAATTGATTCTGTACAGTGATTTAACAAAAATGCCATGCCCTTCATTTTTTTATAATGAGTAGAAACGGAGAAAAGATGAACTCTAGAATTATATATAGGTTAGTGCTACATGATACCAGTTATGTAAAAAAAATCATCATAATTTTATAAGAATAATAATTTTTTGAAAGGATGCAAAAGGGGAAAAAAAGTTAGGTGTTGTATTTTTGGAGAAAAAACAATATATATAGCTATATATTTCAAATCAATCCTTATTTATCGTGCAAGGTTCGGATTTTCATTTATGATAATGATGAAGAGGAATTTAGAAAGACAATTACTTACAAATAATATTTAATGTTAAGAAATAATTGTTGAAGAATGTTCTAACACAAAACAAGTCAGCTACAAAATGTATCAATTTTAGCACAGTGTTTCAAGCATGCTAAATTTACATTGATGGATAACCACCGATATTTAAAGCAATAAATTTAAGATAAATCCTTCATATTTTTATCGTGCTAGGTTTGAATTTTCAATTGACAAATGAATTACAAGCAATACTTTTATGGTAAGACATAACACTTTTAGATATGCTACGATATATCAGTTGAACTAAGAAGTATATCGTTTTTAGCTCACTATTTCAGCACACTATATTTACACCGATGGATAACCAATAATATTTAAAGCAATAAATTTAAGATAAATCCTTCATATTTTTATCGTGTAAGGTTTGAATTCTCAATTGAGCAATGAATTGCAAACAATACTTTTATGGTAAGACATACCGGTTGAAAAACATGCTAAGACATATCGGTTGAACTAAGAGATATATTGTTTTTAGCACACTCTTTCGAGCACATTAGATTTGCAACGATGGATTTTCGGACCAATCCTTCTTGTTTATCGTGTCGAGTTTGGATTCCTAATTATGCCAATGATGGACGGGAATTTAGAAAAACAATTACTTAAAAAAGAGATGGGATGAGATTGGTTGAGTTGGACGATCAAAAAGTAAATAATCAACGATGCACGATTAACAAAGCCACTAACATAGATATTATAAATAAATTAGTGTTAAAATTTGAAATTCAAATTTTACTTGTTCAAAATTACAAAACCCTAGTCCGAAATTTTCAACGAGTATTATGTCATTTAACTTTTTCACTTTTCAAATTTACCACTAAAAACTTTCTATTTTTGAAAATGGTGTCCGTCACTATGATGTTGCCAAACATTTTTGTTAAATATAAGCTTAGAGGCGCAAATCTCAACGACTAATTGTTTAAAAGCTCAAACTTAGATGGAAGGCCTAATCCAATATGGTCCAATTACCAAAGCAACAAGTCCTACGAGTTAGACGATATGAGCACAAATTGATAGGTATTGGAAACACCAAAAGACTCATCCGCTTTATTAAACAATCTCTCCCACACGTTAGAGTTTGATCTTTCTTATGAGGTAGCATAATTATTGAAACAATGAGTTTTTAGGCACACTCGAGAGTGCTTAGTTGTAGGGCATTTGTGTATATTTTTATAGATGAAAGGTCTAAACTTAATAGTAAGATAAAACAATGTATTTTCTTAAGTTGTGGAGATGATGAGTTTGACTATAGATTATGGGATTCAAAAAAGAAGAAAACTATCGAAGTAGAGATGTTGTTTTCTTTGAAGACCAAACTATTGAAGATTTAGAATAGAAGGAGAAAGTAGAGTCCTCCGGTTCCGCTTCTACTAGTTCATATCCAAGACCTACTCTATTGTTACTTATGGTGCCTTCTAATCATAGGGTTGATTTAGAGATTGATGGTTATGGTGGTTTGCCTTTTTAGCTAATAGTTGGTGATCATGAACGAGCTAATAATGATGATGACGATATTGCCCCTAAACAAGAAATTTATAGGAGATAAACTTTTAAGATTAAATCGGACATGATACATTTCCTCAAAAAGAGTATCTTGAAGTGATTGATATCTTTCTCAAAGTATAACTAGCTAATTATTTGAAATCTCTAAACAAATATCAATTTTAGATTTCCTAATTCTTTTAATAGTAGATGACTACTTCAAAATTAATAATTGCTCATATCTCTAAATAAATAAAATTTTCAGCCAATAATCATAAATTTTAAAAGTTCCATTGATCGTCGGGTAATGACTATTGATATAGTGAAGATTTTGAGTGGATTACATTCTTGTGGTTTTTCTCCCCACATTTTTTCATATAAAAATATTGGGTGTTGATTGCGGTTATGTTCATTTGATTGTGATTGATCCTATTTTGATTGCACAAAGAGAGAAAATGATTGAGACTTGTGGTTTGTGAATGAATTGGTACAAGTGTTTCGTGTTTTTCCCAACACTGCCATGCTAATTTACGACTAATATAATCTGTTTTAATATAACCATAATTCTTGTTGTCTTTCTAATATAAGTTAGCATATGAAGAGAGGTATTTGATCTAAATATTTTCAGTTTTCTTTTATACTCTTAGTATGAGAATATAAATGATAGTATATAACTTATAGAATTTAAAAGATAGAACTTGTAACCTATGAAGTGTTAACTTTTAAGCGATATAAAAAAAGATCAAATTGCACCAAATAAAGGGTTGGCTTGTATACATAATGGACTCTGACATCATTTTGCAAATTGATTAGTTGAAGTTACTTTTAAGTAAATGTCTATGCGTATAGATTCATGTACAATCATCTCTAAGGATATATAAATAAAAATAATAACGAGAAATCGTGATTCGCCTATTGCTTTTAAGAATTGAGCAAGTAAAGACAAACAAACATACATTGCTCCAATGGACGAAAGTTTTTTGCTTCACCGTTGGGTTCACCGTACACTACAAAGATATCGTGTGCAGGATCCTCCATTTTCCTGACAATAATTTTCTTTATTATATAATGAGCGTGAGCTAAAAAAGCAAAAAAAACAAAAAACAAAACAAAACAAACAATTTTGTGTTGTCTGTTTTCTTTGCAATTCATCTAGCAAGAGGTTCTACTCTCTCACAAAATCATAGAATCCATATTTTTTTATATGGGTATACTGAATAATTCTTGGTAAACTACTTTAAATGGTGCGGTTGCATTCTGACGTATGCGTCTTCACATTATCAGAGAAACAACATAAATAAATGGGCCAAATTTCAGAATATTATTCTGATAGTTCTAATAGGTGTAGGCTGGGCATGATTAAGATAAATGATCAGCTGCAACCAGAATCTGAAGAAAAGTATATAGATAAACAGATCGAGTATAGGCCAGACATACAGAAATTACAGTTGCAAATTGGACAAGTATGCGGTATTTGTTTGGTTGCAAATGTTCCTTGCAATGTTTGCTGAATCTGCCAAGCTATGATTATTGCTTGACAGGCATCATGAGGTCCGGGATCTAAGTGACATGTCCTCTACGAAATTCCAAAATCAGAAGCATACCATGTCAAGTTAGTTATGACAAAAGAACCAAACTGGGTGACCATCTTGAACTTCAAGATGCTCTGGTCATCAACAAATATTCGAAGACAAATTCTAAAGTAAGGTTATAGCATCAGCCAATATCATTTACAGGGACAATAATTGTGGTATAAGTTTGATGTGGCACCTGTATATTTATCTCTTTCACACAAAGCTCAAAGTCAAAAACCGTTAGCAATTATTAAATGATAAATTACTAAATGAAGATGAGTTTTGCACCAATAGCTTATCGAAGTATAATATAAATCATACCCGAATCTCATTTAACAATTTAAGTTTTTAAACAAAATGATCATTTGATATAATATCAAAACTTTAATGATCAAATAATCATAAATTCATAAAGTAACATTGACCTGTGTAATAATATAAGTTTTATCGTGAAACCTTAGTAGTCTTTTCTGCTGAAACATTCAATTATGTTACTTTTTTGGATAGTTGAATGGGTTGCTAATCTCTTCCTCCTTGACAATTTCAAACACACATAATCCTCCGCTGATTTAAGAGGCATTTATTTATCACTATATTCTTAGGTAGGTGAAAACTCAGCACGCCTAAATTTATTTTTCCTCATTATCTCTTCTTCTTTTTTTCTTTTTTCTTTTTTCATTTTCTTTAACTTTCATGGTAGTTCTCTTTACAAAATCAGTTGGGCTAAACAAAACTTGCAAAAAAAAAAACAAAAAAAAAAAACAAAAACAAAAAACAAAAAACAAAAAACAAAAACAAAAAAAATACAAAACAAAAAACAAAATTTGTCCTTCTTTGTATCTTTAATGTGCTTGTTTGTCTCTACTTCTCCTTCTCCAGGATCAAAAGAAACTCAACATGGCATTTTGTATATATATATATATAAAAAAAATCATTCTTCCAACTATAATTTGCATCCTAATCGGTGATTTAACTTTGCTCTAATTCTTCATAAGAAGATATAGTAAACTATATGCACATGTCATGTTAGACGTAAACAAAACTTTGACCAGATCAGAGTTAAACGATTTAAAAAGTATTGGATCCAATTCTGGTTAGATATGATGCAAGCAATGACACATGTACAGAAGGATCTAGAATATGAGGAAAATTTTGCTGCAAGAAACATTCATCAGGATTTAGCTATATTAACATTTGCTTTCCTAGCTTCAAGATCATATACCAAACTAGAAATTTACAATAAACACTAGCTATAGTAAAATTTCTATATTTTGAAAGCTGAGCTGTTTTGAAATGGCACAAGTAAAACTACTAGATTTATGGGTTAGTGCTCCTGCAATGAGAGTGAGAATAGCTTTGGCTGAGAAGGGAATAGAGTACGAGACTCAGGAAGAGGACTTGAGAAACAAGAGCCCTCTGCTTCTAGAGATGAACCCAGTGCATAAGAAAATCCCAGTTTTGATCCACAATGGGAAGCCCATTTGTGAATCAATGATCATAGTTGAGTACATCGACGAGGTCTGGAGTGACAAGTCTCCTCTACTGCCTTCTGATGCTCATGAGAGAGCTCGTGCAAGGTTTTGGGTTGACTTCATTGACAAAAAGGTGAATTATTTTGTTCCACTTGTTTCCTTTTTCCTTACTGCTACTAATTTCTACGTTAAAGGATCCATATATATATATATATATATATTCTCCTATGACGCTAATTCACTTTTATATGCAGCTATAAACGTTTTAGTTTTGTATAATTCACTGTCATTAACTTACATTTTTAATTATATATAGGATAAATATAACTTGGATTTTAATTGTATCTCATTTATTTTTGAAAATATTTAAAATATTCAATCTGTAATTCTGATTAATTTTTTCAGTCAAATGAAATTTTTTTTACCGAAACGCTCTTTATTAAAATGCAAAATATAAAACTAAAATCTAACAACTTTAAAAATCTAACAACTAAAAATGAAAATTGTATGGTCACATGGCTTCAAATGTTTTTTTTTCGTATTTTAATAAAGGACATTTCGATAAAAAAAAATTTATAGTTAAAAATTTTATTTGAAAATACAGATTGAACATTGCAAAATATTATATATAAGATGTCAAATTTATCTTTTGTCAGTAAATTTGACAAAACAGCTCTCTTTTTTCTTTTTATCTTTTTTTTTCCCTTTTTTGAACTTGTATTCACTTTGATAAGATATTCAATAGTAAGCTAACATCTACAAAATCAACTAATAAAGTTTCAAAAATTGGGATCATATAATGTAGATTGCCGACCCAATTAGGCGGCTGGTATGGACATCAAGCAGTACTGAAAACAAAGAAGCTGCAGCAAATGATCTCATTGAGTTTTTTAAAGTAATGGAAGCAGAGCTCGGAGACAAACCCTATTTTGAAGGTGAGAGCTTTGGCTTTGTTGATGTTGCACTTGTACCTTTCTATAGCTGGTTTTATACTTATGAGACACTTGGGAACTTTAGCATTGCTAAAGAGTGCCCCAAGCTCGTTGCATGGGGTAAAAAATGCTTGCTAACGGAAAGTGTGTCCAAGACTCTTCCTGACCCATACAAAGTTTATGAGGTCGTTTTGGAGTACAGGAAGAAGCTGGGACTCGAGTGAATTTCTAATTACAGAATACATACATAATTAAGTAGTACCACACAATAAGGCTTTATGTCATTAACTTGTGTGTGATTTTCTCTTGATTACCTCAAGGGCTTCAGCTTGTCTTTGTTTAACTGTTCTGTGTAATTTGTTTTGATTGCCTGGTCTTGGCTGCATTTCTAGACTATTTAATAAAGATTTTTCCATTTCGAATGAGAGAATTCCTTCATTTGTATTTTGCAATGTATTATCATGTCTAGCTAGCTTTCTAACTTCATTAAAAAAAAAAAACAAATTACCATTTCATATTTAGCTGGACTAAAGCCCAATTAATAGTCACAGTGCATTGTGGAAAAAAAGAACCCCGTACAGAGTGTTAGCATCCGATTTTGACACCTTATTTTTAATAATAATAAATAAAATTTTTTAAAATGCCAAAAAATGATCATTTAATTCGATTTCTCTGATTTTTCAAATTTTATTCTTTTTCTGATTTTTGTGAGTTTTGTGAGTGTAAAAAAAATGATTAAGCATACAAAAAATCATAAAAATAAAATGAGTGAAAAAAAATGAGAAAAAGAAAAGAGAGAAGAAAAATCAGAATTAGTCTGATCGGAGGTGCAATTGACAGAAAAGAAAGGGCAATGATTAAGGTGAAAAGAAAGGATGCTATGAGGGATCAAATGCAAATTAAGCCAAACCCTAAAAATCTCTATAAATACATTTCTTTCTCTCTAAAAAAAAAAAAACAAGGAAAAAAACGAAGAAGAGGGCAGCCGAAAACCAAAAAGAAAAGAAAGAGAGAGGCAGCCATAGAGAAGAGGAGGAGAAGAGCCCAAATTCTCTAGAGAAATAGGAGGAGAAGCTGCCTACAAAACAAAACCAAAATAAATAAATAAATAAAATAGCCAAGCAGATTGAAAATATGAAATGAAAGAAAATAGGACTGAAATTCTAACATGGCTGAACTCTCATCTAAATTACATTTTTCAGGTTCGAAAAAAAAATCAACTAACATTTTATACCTAAAAAACTTATCAAAATATCCATGGTCAATTTCTTGTGAAAAAAAAGGAAAAAGGAAAAAATACCTTGCGAGTATTTTTATCAAAAGACAGGTCATATGTAAGTTATATGTTCAATTTTCAATGGTTTTGTCAGAAAATTTTATCAGAATATTTGATAAAGTAGATAAAATAACATATATATGATATTATTATTTTAGAATATAAAAACATATTAAGATTTTTGGAGTATTTTTGTCAAAAGACAGGTCATGTACAGATTATATTGTCAACTTTCCATAGTTTTGTCAAAAAAAGAAAAAATTACCGAATGATATATTAAAAATTAAATAAAAAAAGATATGATGTGATTGTTTTAAAACATATTAAAAACTTTAAAAACTTAGACTATTATATAAAAATATGAAATACTATTAATCTCAATTAATAAACTATTAAAATATATCAGTATCACCATAGGTGGAAAAAAAAAACTACAAAAGACTATTATTTTTTATTTCTTCACAAAAAAACTACAAAAGACTATTAAAATATATATATTATCTGTGGTAGAAAACAAGTTACAAAGATTGAATTTTCTGTAAACATTTATAAGAAGTAAATGATAGTGGAACCCATTAGAAGACATTAAGGCCATTGACTTTAAGTCGATCAGGAAGATTCCTTTATCAATTCCCAACCATCACCTTGTAGGAAGACTTTTCATTTCACAAAAAATAAAAGCCCAAACATTTGCCTTAAATTACAAATCTGTCATTAAGTCGATCAGTGTCCTTTCCATGTTATGTCTAGCACTGCTCTCCAAGCTCGACAAATGGCATTTCGT